GCTGAGTTACTGGGGTATCATGGTCACAAATCAGGGGACCATATACACGTGGGTATTTTTCTGAGCTCTATTTTTCCTAGTTTCATGGGACAAAGTTCATCCAGAAAAGAGATTACCAGGAACCAGCAGATGGCATAATGGTTACATCACTGGGTTCCCACCTAATCCACCACAGTTCGAGTCCTAGATCTGGTAGTTTAAAACTCATGCTGGGTACCTGTGTGTACGTGCCCAAGATCCCAAGAGGAGATTAGAGGAGGGATTGAGGCGTGGCCATCCTCCCTGGGGGGGTGATTTCAAGAGTGAACTTGCCCTACAGCAAAAATCTCTCTCCCAAACTTCTCTCTCTCTCTCTATATATATATATGTATATACATATACGCACATACATATGTATGTATGTAAAAAATATAAAGAAAGGGCCAGAGAACCATCTGGTCAATCTCTCCCCAAGACTTCAACTACATCTGCCTCAATCCCTTGTAATTTTTACATACTTTTTTTGTTCCCTTTTTCTCTTCTCTGTGCTTCAGTTTCGATATCCTGTGTGTTTAAATTCACTAACTCCATCTTCTAATTATTTTTTCTTCTATTTCACTAATTGTGTTCAACCTGTTAAGTACATCCAGTAAGTTATAGCAAATACACTTTTTTCAGTTCCAGAATATTTATTTTTTAAAAATTATTTATTTAATTGTATTTATTATTATTATTATTCAATTTGGCCGGGGAGGGGGGGAGAGGGAGAAAGAGGGAGCGAGAGAAAGCCGCCAGGTCCGGGACTTGAGTTGAGTTGGCCATGTAGGAGTCCGGCACCTCAACCAGCATGCCACCTGCCAGCCCCTGAATTCTTTATTGAAAATTCCCATTCTCGGGACCAGCAGTTAGCGTAATGACTATGTCACTGGACTCTCACGTAGTCGACCACGGTTCGAGTCCCGGACCTGGTGGCTTAATCTCACGCCAGGCATGTGTGTGTGTGTGCCCAAGATCCTGAGAGGAGAATGGAGGAGAAGGAACTGCAGTGTGGCCATCCCCCGGGGGGGATGATTTCTCGCTTTCTGTCTCTCTGTCTCTCTCTGTCTGTCTGGTGAGCGCATGCATCCTATACCAAAAACCTCTCAAAAAAAAATAATAATAATTAAAAATATTGGGGCCGGCAAGTGGCATGGTGGTTAAGAGCACTGGACTCCCACA